GTAAGTTTTATCCCGCAATCCATGAACCAGTTTAGTAGCCCTTCTCTGAATCCTCTCTAAGGTATCAATATCCTTCTGAAGATACGGTCTCCAGTAATGTGTACAATACTCCAAGTGAGGTCTCCCCAGTGTTCTGTACAATGGCATGAGCACTTCCCTCTTTCTACTGCCAATACCTCTCCCCATACAACCAAGCATTCTGCTAGCATTTCCAGCTGCTCTATTACATTGTCTGCCTACCTTTAAGTCATCTGAAATAATTACTGCTAAATCCCTTTCCTCAGATGTTGAGGTTAGTAGGGTATCAAAAATCCTATACTCTGCCCTTGGGTTTTTATGTCCAATGTGCATTATCTTGCACTTGCCCACATTAAATGTCAGTTGCCACAGCTCTGACCATTTTTCTAGTTTACCTAAATCATTTGCCATTTGGCTTATCCCTCCTGGAACATCAACCCTGTTACATGTCTTATTATCATCAGCAAAAAGACATACCTTACTATCAAGACCTTCTGCAATATCACTAATAAGAATATTAAAGAGAATGGGTCCAAGTACAGATCCCTGAGGTACCCCACTGGTGACTAGACCTTGCTTCGAATATACTCCATTGACAACAACCCTCTGTTGCATGTCATTCAGCCACTGCCTTATCCATGCTTCCAGAGATACTAACCACTTGCTTTCATGGTTAGTGCCAACTGCAATGGCCTTATGTTGAGATAAATCCCAAGAAAATACTGGTCAAATACATCATGCAAAGTGCTTACACAGTGCAAACAAAACACAGGACATTTAGCCCACATGAGGCCTCTTGAACAATGCTCTCTGCATGGGCTGTCCTGAGTGTAGCTTTGCCTTGGTGGCTGCAAAAATACCAGGGCCACTTTTTTGGTATCTCCTGCCTCCTGTGATGTCACCAGTAATGTGTGTATGTAGAACATATTATGGTCCAGGCACTCAGGGAAGTAACAAAATCAGCAGGTTTATTGGGGCAAGAGCAGCAATGTTTACAACCAACCGGGTCTTTATCAAGCTGCTAAACAGGCTTGATAAAGACCCATTTGGGTCAAAACGTTGCTGCTCTTGCCCCAATAAACTTGCTAATTTTGTTACTTCGTTGAGTGCCTGGACCATAATATGTTCTGCATATCTGGAAGTGTGGCCTGGCCAGCTCCGGATCCGGAGCACCTTGGTTGTTTGGTGAGTGCGGTATCCATCATCTCTTTACCAGAAATGTGAATAACATCAGTGCTTGGCCAACTAAACTGCAGTCCTGTTCTGAGAGTTAAGGCAGCGGTGAGTGAAAATTTGTCTCTCTGATGCTGTCAGTGGTTTAGTAGTGTTTGTGGTTGATATATTGATTTTGATTGGTTGGTACTCTTGGTGAATATAAAGTTACCCAATTACCGTAAGTAGAAATCTATGCTAACCATGAATACATGGACTTGTGTTCATGTTTTTGTTGAATGTAATGAGGTGTGAGGCAGTTTGCGAGTCATTTCTGTAATGCTTAACGCTGAGATGTAGTTGTAGCAGGTTTAAGGTATAATGCAGTATTTATGTTTCTTTTTTTTTTTAATGATTTATCTGATTTAGGGCATGCATGTTTGGTTCCAATGGGATTACTCACATTCAACCAAATTGAGAGTAGCTCAGATGAACTAAATAAACAATAGTGTTTTAGCATAATTTGATGTTGCCAAAGCCAACTAATAATCTCCCATATTATGAAGGGGAAAAAACATTACAAAACTTTGTGGTTGTCTGCTTAGTCATTTCATGCCTGCGTTAGAGCAGCTGTCAACAGCTTTATTTATCTGCAAAAAAAAAAAAGACTGCATAAGTTAGTGCACAGTATGGTCACAAGAGGGCAGTATTGCACTAAATAACCTGTCTTTTTCACTGTGCATTTAATACTGACTTGTAATAAAAAAAAAAAAAATTCTTGCCTCATTTGCGAAATAGACGGGTGTTTCCTTAAGTTTACTGGCTCGTCATTTTGTATAAATTAGTAAAAAAAAAAAAATGAACGCAGGAGTAAGCTGAAATGTTGTGTACAAGCACAGTTCATATCCATTATCCAGTTCACAGTTAGGCAACCTTTGGCACTCTAGATGTTGCGGACTATATCTCCCATAATGCTCTTACAGCCATCATTTATTTATTTATTTATAAAATAGTTTACCAGGAAAGATATATTGAGATTTCTCTTGTTTTCAAGTATGTCCTGGGTCCACAAAACATTGCAAATTGCTGACAAAGCTTCTAGGAAGTTGTAGTCCACAACATCTGGAGTGCCAAAGTTTGCCTATCCCTGTTCCAGTTAAATTAACGATAGACACCACTACATTGGTAAGGTACTGGGCATAGCTAATCAGCAATCCTCTATGGACGGATTCAATAAATTAGAATCTGTGTGTTTTACACGTATGAGTATTTCATGGCTGAATGTGGAATGAAACAAACAAATAACAAAACTGGTCCTAGTTTTTGAAAGATATAAAAAAAAAAATTTAATCTTTTTCAATTCTTTATTTTTGTAGTGCATTGCAAATGACATTGCAAAGACTAACATTAAAGACTCTCAAAAAGAGGTCGCAATACATGTCTGAAGTACTACAAATTTTTTAAAACTTTAGTAATATAAGTTGCTTATTTAATGGATTAACATGATAGAAATTGGGAGTAGAGTAAAACAAAATTAAATAAAACACATGCTAGAGATAAAGACATCATAGGCTGCGAGTAGGTGAGTGATAACATTGACAGTGTTGCATGCATGGAAAAGACAGTACACCACAAAAAACAAACAAGCTCGGTGATCCATACCCTATTAGCCTATGCCCTACCGGTATACATTACAATCCAGCATCATAGTGACTTGCATGGGCGTCTGCAGGTGGGGTAAAGGAGGTACTTGCCCCCCTCCTGGATTTTTCAGCTTGTTCTGCTATTTGTCATGTGAGATTGAAAATACAGTGCAATACCATACTGTTTATGGAGAGAGACAGAGAAAGGAAGCTACATCTTATCCCTGCTTCTCTCTCCTGACTGAATCCGCAGGGGAGCAGCACATGCAGCCAGAGACAGCCTACAGATCAGGTAAGTGAGGCATGGGGAGGGCAGACTATAGATCAGGTCAGTGAGGCATGGGGGGAGAGAGAGCCTACAGATCAGGTAAGTGAGGGATGGGGGTGCAGACTATGGGGGGCAGCCTATAGATCAGAGAAGTGAGGCATGGGGGGGAGAGAGAGCCTACAGATCAGGTAAGTGAGGGATGGGGGAGCTGCCTATAGATCAGGGTAGTGAAGCATTGGGGGACAGACTATAGATCATGGAAGTGAGGCATTAGGAGGCAGTCTATAGAACAGTGAAGTGAGACATGGGGGGCAGCCTATACATTTGGGAAGTGAGGTAGGGGGGAGTGGGAGACAGCCTATATATCAGGTAAGTGAGGTAGGGGGAGGGGAGAGACATCCTATATATCAGGTAAGTGAGGTAGGGGCGAGGGGAGAGACAGCCTATAGATCAGGTAAGTGAGGAAGGGGGGAGGGAAGAGACAGCCTATAGATCAGGTAAGTGATGGGGGGGAGACAGCCTATAGATCAGGTAAGTGAGGGATGGGGGCAGCCTACAGATCAGGGAAGTGAGGGATGGAGGTGGAGAGAAAGCCTGTAGATCATGTAAGTGAGGGATGGGGAGAGACAGCCTATAGATAAGGTAAGTGAGGAATGGAGGTGGAGAGAAAGCCTGTAGATCATGTAAGTGAGGGATGGGGGGAGAGACAGCCTATAGATAAGGTAAGTGAGGAATGGGGGGAGAGACAGCCTATAGATCAGGTAAGTGAGAGATGAGGGGGTGCAGCATACAGATCAGGTAAGTGAGGGATGGAGGGAGAGACAGTCTATAGATCAGGTAAGTTAGGGATGGGGGTGAAGAGAAGCCTGTAGATCAGGTAAGTGAGGGATGGGGGAGAGACAGCCTGTAGATCAGGTAAGTGAGGGATGGGCAGACAGCCCAGGATGCTGGTGAGTGGAGGGGAGAGAGAGCCTATAGACCAGATAAGTGAGGGATGGGGGGAGGCAGCCTATAGATCAGGTAAGTGAGGGATGGGGGAGACAGCCTACAGGAAGGGTCAGCAAGGAGCAGGAAGCTAAAGTAAGAGAAGGAGCAGAAAGGAGCAGGAAGGGATGTTAAGGAGCAGAAAGGGGCAGCAATGAGCTGGAAGGGACAGCAAGGAACACAAAAGGTAAAGTAGGAGAAGGAGCACAGAGGAACATAAATAAGGAG